GGGTAGTTTCTTTGTTTGGTAGATGGTTTAGTATTTTTTGCATATTTTTCTTTTTCTTAGGATAGGGCCTGTTGTTTGATTTGTTTTTGCATTTTTATATTTTCTTCTAATTTCAAAATTTGCTGTTTTATTTTTTAGAGAGACAAAGGGGTTCCCCATGGAGTGCTTGTTACACTGTCAGTAAACATTAACTGACAGTTCTGAAGTGTTCAAAATCTGTCAGTATTTCTATCAAAGTTAGATCTCCTTCAAACGATATTAGGTGTAAATTGCGCCCTCTCGACTGGGTTCGAGGATCCTGTGTCAGAATCTCCGAAAGCTAAATAGGACTCGAAAAACATACTCGGGGCAAATGATCAGGGAGCAGAATGCTGCTTTTTAAAGATCATAATCTGTTTGCCAACTTGCTACCTACAACCCGCTTGCAAATACACCTGCCACTATACTGTTTTCCCTTTTAGCTCCTCTCGACACTTGTTTTGGCCCGATAGAATAGGCTAACACTAACAATGTCACATTGGCAGAAACTGTGTCCACCATTTCGGAACTTCACGGTGACCGTAAAGATGGTTCCAGTAGGGAACGGGATAGATGGTGCCCACATCCCTCGTGACTCTTTGGAGTAGAAGAAGATAGGATTAACGCTAACATTACTAAAACGCAATCCCACATCATCACTCATCTCCACCAGTATTTCTAAAATCATCACCGCTCTCAGATCAATGACTTTCATCTATAATCCTGGAATCTCTATCTGCTGTTACAGTTACTTGTTATACTAAGTATGCAAGTAATACACTATTGGACACTATTCTTCTTCATCGTTCTTGATGATAGCAGCTAGACAGTCAGTCCGATGTCGTGTACAAACTGTGTAGTTCGCTTCAACTCTGAAAGACTGCCATAGAGTTTTCTCTCAAGGGGAGCTTCTTTCTGCCACGTCTGTGCGCGAAGGGTGGCGTAGCGCGAGCAGTGCTGAAGAATATGGTTGGCATCCTCCTGGTCGTATCCACATTCACAGGTCGCTGTTTTTCCCACTTTTAATTTGGTGTGCAAATGGTGTTTGAGTCTGTTGTGGCCACAACGGAGTCTAAAGATTGTGACCTGGTCTGCTCTATTTAGTATGTAGTAGGGGTCATGTCTGTTGTGCTTAAGGTGGGACATTTTCCATCTGTTTCTTCAAGGAGTTTTTATTAGTGTTTTTGACTCTGAGAGATCCATGCCATCTTCAATCTGGGTCATTTTGGCTCCTTCTTTGGCTAAGCCGTCTGCTTTTTCATTCCCACAATCATACGCACTTTTTTCTACTAATCAGATAGGGTCAATCTCATAAATGGGAAAGGGATAAAAGAAAAAAAGATGTCCTTCAAACATCATGTCAAATCACCCCTGCTCCGTTCCATTCCTAGTTCACGAAGCCCATGTGATAACGTGCCACAACATTTATCATACTTCTTGAAAGAAGATTCGTTCAGTCTAAAAACACAGAAGAGGTCGTTTCAATCCTTTCTTCTCTTTTCATCTTGTTATCAAGAAAACTCCCAGAAATGCTTTAGGGTCATTTTTAGATCACACCGTGTTTCCACAGAAAACAATAATATTAGTGAGTGAGAATGTTAACTATTATTAATGAGCTACACCTTTATGCTTACGCACCTATTGCACTTTCCAGAAACGATCTCCAGGACACCCTAGCCTTTCACCTGAAGCAATACAGTGAACTTTTAAAGCTGCAATTGTAGGCAAAATTTCGACACGCGGTGTTCGGATTGTATGTTTAAATGTGAAGGAAAGTTTTTTTGCAACGAGTCTTCACCTTTCCGCACGCGTTGGCGTGGCCTTTCAAGAATCAAAACCGTGCTAATCTGTATTCGTTTCCACCGAATGTTGTGAAGTTCATAGAGTACAGTAAACTAAAAACACAAGTCAGGTTTCATAATTAAAGACACACGATCTGTGCCCAGTCACCTAACAACTTCAACGAAAGTCAACATTTTAACATTTATTTTGTATTTATTCCTAGATGGAAACGAAGTGCAGATTGCAAAGCTCATTGGATGCTCTATTTTAATCAACAGTGTATGTTGCTCTCTTCAACGCCATCACACTATGTGCTCCCTTTGGCCTTCGACACTTCCTTGAAACGAGCTTTCAAAGTGAAAGTGAATAAATTAGTCGGTTTTTCACGTGATTGATTTCACAAGGATATTCAACAGGTTGTTGTGAATTTAGGGATAGAGTTTTGATCTTGTCTAAACTGGTTTTGTGTTGTTTTTCATTTGACCACTTCATGTGCTTTTGAAACGGTAAAAGAAAAATAAATTTTTTTTAAAAACACGTAGGTACCTTTCCGACTCTGGGAGGGGTCGCAGTCCTAAGGCCGTGGGTGGTCAAATCTACGATGAGAACGTTGAGGAAACTGGACAGGGTGATGAGGATCATGTTGAGGCAGTAGTATGTGCCTGAAAGATATGGCATGTAATTGTAATACTACTAATAA